ACTTGTCCAAGGTCATTCAATAAGTGGTATACCTGGAATTTGAACTCCTGCTCCAAAATCAGAGTACTTAACCAACACTTCCTGCAGCCTCTCTGAGAGAGGAGACAGTGTGCACTGGTCAACTTTTCCCTCAAGATATATCAAATACCTAACACTATAATTAATGCCTTGATGAGCGATGGCTTCCCAATGAGTTATGTCACAGGTCATAGACTCTACTCAACAGCACAGATCAATTGGCATCTTGAAAAGACTGACACAAAGAACATTTTCTCTTCTCTGCCTTCCTTCACTTAGTCTCTGCTATGGTCTTAGCAATAGTCACGTGGTCTGGATCATGCCAAACATAGGCTCTTGGAAACATCATTTCACTTGGAATGGCCACGTTAGAAACAGGGATTGGCTTCTGTCCCAAACATGCTGGGTGTGAGGCTGATGTTGGGATCATCTTTTTATTTGGTTGGAAGTAGGCACTTGAGAAAGTTGGTATAGACCAGTTCAGCTTCTGAGGTCCTGAGGGATGACATCCACTCCAGGAGCCAGAAGCCAATGGGCTGACACGGGGAAGAATAAAAATTGAGCAGGACTTTATTTCCATTTTAACTTGAGGAGTTGGAACTTTTATCAGATTTTAACTCATAAAGGTAAGATTATTTGATTTTGGAATTCACTTCTGTGTGGACTTAAAAATTCTGGATTTTAATTTCTTTGGGATTTTATTTTTTGAATTTAATTTCTCTACAAAAATTTGATAATGGAGTTAACACTAAAATTTGAGTTATCTCTACGTTATTGGAATTTTGTGATTGAAACATGTTAATCCTGTCAATGGATCTCATTGAAGAATCTCTGGAGAATCTGTTAGAGAACAGATAGCTATTTTGGACAGTGTTGCTGGGCATAATTTGGGGTAGGAAATGGGATAGGAAGTGAATGTTCAATGTTCCATAGCACAGCCTTGTAGTCAATTTAATTAATACACTATTCTAAGTCATCTCAGAATCTTCTGGGGTAAATTTTACACTGCCCACTGTGATCTAGAAGGATCCACAAAGGAGCAGGATTTAGTTATGGAACAGCAGCCTCACAAAAGTCCTAAGAGACTGAGGATCTCCTTTCTCAAGAGGGAGAGTGACTCCTCTGGTTCATCATAAGGTAATGACTAAGCCACAGAAGTTAAGAGAACAAAAAGTCGGGCAATGTTGGGGGAATGAGAGCATTATTAAACAGCTGCATCAAAATCTGACACTGTCTGTGTAACAGCTCTGCACTGTGACGTGCTCCTCCACACCAAATAGCTCGCACAGGATCAGTGAGCGGAAGAATGATGTCAGTATGCATGGAAGTTTGGCTGGTGAATATGTGCTTTTTCCTGGGCAAAGGAGGCCAACAGCATAGGAGTAGAATTCTATCCTTTGGCAGTAGAGAAAAAAGCCCTTAGCTTGGCTGCTGCATTGGGGCTCCCTCCCCAGAAGGGTGCACACCCCGTCTTGCATGACTGAGTGTGGGAGTTTCCCTTCCTCCTGTGCCTCACTTAAAGGAAGCCCCACTGGCTCGAAACTCCAGTCGACTTCCATCCGTGTCAGCTCACACTATGGTTTTTGTGCAGCTTTAACATCCTCTGAAGCAGCACTCTGAGATGCCTACCAGGCTGTTTACATTATCTCCTAGATTAACAATTATTATTTAGTTAGCATTCTGGTTTGAAAGGTGCACAGATTTTGAATGGTCTTCCTCAACCCTAGTTTCCCATGGCCCTGTTATTTTGGTGGGCATGATTTCGCAGAATGCATTTTCACACATATATTGTGTTCTAGCAGAAATGCTGTACTAGCATGTTGACTATATATATACAGTCATATATATATTGCCATATACATATGGCATCTTTACACAGTGGTTAGTTCTCTTCTACTCTACAAAGAATAGATCTATATAGGAGCCACAACTAAAGAACTTTTCCACGTGTCACAATATAAATTTCTTTGTTAAAATTTTTGATGGTTTACAAATCTAAAACCACAAGTACTTTGTGAATCCTATGGGCTTTTAAAGGTTTTACTAGACTTGATAAAGTAAAAGCAGCTTAATGTCACGTCCAATGTGCTCATTTCTCAGAGCATAGGAGGAAAACTTGAAAGTCTATCTAACTCTAAAAAAGAAGCAACAGGGCCCGGCCCCCTGGCCGAGTGGTTAAGTTCCCATGCTCTGCTTCGGCGGCCCAGGGTTTCACCAGTTCAGATCCTGGGCGCCGACATGGCACCGCTCATCAAGCCATGCTGAGGCAGCGTCCCACATGCCACAACTAGAAGGACCCACAACTAAAAATACACAACTATGTACTGGGGGGCTTTGGGAGAAAAAGAAAAAATAAAATCTTTAAAAAAAAAAAGAAGCGACAGATAGAAGAAAATTTTTTATTTTGTGTATCTGTTACTTTTAGTCCTTGGTACAATTACACTTCTAATTTGTGCTTATAAAAAAAAGTAATTGCTATGATCTTAACATCAGACATTATTAAATGACTTTTTCTGATGTGATACAGAACAAGAAGCCAAAAAATCATACATCAAGTGAGCATACGTATTTATTTATTTAAATTAAAAGAACTTTCACATAACACTTGACTCTCCCCAAGGTGAAGTTCAGAACACCATCAAACATAAAAGTTTAGGGATCTCAATCATTTGATGCACAAAATCATACTAACAAAGCAAAGAGAAATGCAAAAACCTAATGTTAAGTGACTAGGGAGCTATAGACTGGAAGTTCCTCCAACAGGATTAGCTTCTCTAAGAATTTTAAGTCCAGTGAACTTGTTATGCTGCCACGTGTTAGTAGTTGCATAAGCTAATTTCAGCTGGCATGAGCTTTTATTAGTATGCAAAAAACACAGGGCAAGGCATGCATCAAAATGTGATGCCAGCACAGCCTGTGACATGTGAAGCATGAGGCACGAGTGAAAATGCCCCTGCACCCGGGAAGAATCACACCTCAGAGTCAGAGCTTTCCACGAGGTACCCTGTTTGGGAGGGGAAAAACCAACTTTCTAAATATAAATCTTTCATCTTAACCAGGGTTCCGGACAGTTTCAATTCTAGCAATTTACTCAAATCTAATTTTTTAAATCCAGGTGAGCTGGAAATAATTCAAAGCTCTGGATAGGGTCTTAAGAAAACTTGTTATTTATTTTATTAGTGAAGTTTAGAGTGATTTTAAAATATTGTTAATCATAAGGAAAATGTTAGCCAGCATGACCAGGAAGGGAACAAAAACGCAAGAAAGAAGAAACCAGCTTTGAGGATGATATTTCCTCCCCCCCCTGCAAAAAAAAGACCATCAGGAAGGATTCCGTGTTACATATGTCTTACAGGTAAGCAACTATCTAATTCTTCTAGATAATGGAAAAGTGTCTACAAGCACTTTGAAATCTTCAGATAAAAACTACTGAAATGAAAAATAATTATCATATCTAACACAAACACTAAAAATGACCAAGAAAAATAGATTTACTTTCTAAATCACACACACATATAATCCTTAGCCAAAAAAAAAATGAGTCATAAACAATAAATATCCAGATATTACAAAGATGACTCAATAGTATTAATTAAGGATGAAAAATCAAGGAAAAATTTTGCTTTTATATAGCAAAAGCGAGGATATTAGAAACAAATGGGAGTGTCCAGTGTAGCCGTATCCTAAAGTCACGTACAGTTGTCTGGACGTGGCCTTGCGGTTAACGTGTGCCGTTTAAGATTTCGGCCCCCTTCAGACATATGGGGTGAAGGTTTTGGTGAAGTGATAGGACCATAATAGTAGCACATCTACTAGTGCTAATAGGAGCACCACCAAAGTAATAGTGATTACCACTAAAGCAATAAAATGTAAGTTTAAAAAAAGTAAAGCAATAGTAGTAATTACTACCAATAGTAATTTAATAGTAGCACAAATGTGGAATTCATGGTATTTTTGCTTTCGGAGACTAGCAAATCAGCGTCTTTAGAAATGTCGATGGATATCTCATATTTTGACAGACATAAAATAAAACTGTTTTAAAGTACATTTCATAACTTCTGAAAAACCTCTAGAAGTTAACCAAAACATTTAAAAATCTCTGAGCATATAAGAAAACAATTTCTCATTTTTTTCTTTTGAAAGCTGTATATCATCGAAATTGTCTGTTAAATTAGGAAAATGTATCAATTACTTTTGTTTATTAAGTTACGGCTTACTAAGGTTAAAATTTCCATCAATTTTTTAAAAATCTAAGCTTGTGCCACAGACTGAATGTTTGTGCTCCCCCAACATTCATACTGTGAAACCTCATCCCCACTGTGATGGTCCCTGGAGGTCATAAGGGTGGAGCCTGCATGAATGGAATCGGTGTCCTTATAAAAGAGACCCCCGGGGTCAGCCCCGTTGCCTAGTGGTTGGGGTCGGTGCACTCTGCTTCGGCAGCCGAGGTTCAGTTCCCAGGCACAGACCTACACCACTCATCAGCAGCCACGCTGTGGTGGTGACCCACATATGAAACAGAGGAAGATTGGTGTGGATGATAGCTCAGGGTGAATCTTCCTCAACAAAAAAAATGAGAACCCAGGGCGTGCCCTTGCCTTTGCTCCACGTAAGGACACAATGAGAAGACAGGCGTCTATGAACTAGGAAAAGGGTCCTCACCACACAGTGAATCTACTAACACCTTGATCTCGGATGTCTCAGCCTCATAGCTGTGAGAAATAAATGTTTGTGGTTTAAGCTGCCCAGTCTACGGTATTTTCGTTATAGTAGCCCAAATGGACCAAGACACGCTGAAATAAGATTCCCAAAACCTTAATGCCCTTTCATGATTTCCCTTTGTATAAGAACGACATTTATCCGTGTTTAATTAAACTGTTTTATTATATCTGTTTTCCTTTTAAATGTATAAAGTAAAAACAGAATTATGTAAATACCTTTCAAAGTATTATCATATAGTTTACAAAATCTTTGCCACTTACCTTTTGAAACATCTTTAATTTTTCTGCCATACAAATCATAAAGATATCTGGCTGGTGAATTGAGATTCATTCTCATTGTGCAAGTATCTAAAACCTACATAGGAAAAAAAAAACTATAAATAATTTATTACAGTAAGCTCTGTCTAAATTGAATACACATTTAAAGTCCTTTCTCTACTACATGGTTATTAAAAATTATATTATAAAATAAAATTTGATGATTTATAAAATGTTTCTAATACATGAAATGAAAAAAGGCAGTTAAAATTATATTCCCATTGTAGTTTAAAAACATTCACAAATATTAATAAAAAAGAAAAAGGAGATGCAACAATTATTAAAAAGTGGTTACGCACTACTTAAATGGTGGAACTCTGGGAGATTTTTATATTATTGTTGCTATTTTCTATATTTTCCTTTTATTTTACGGTGGGAGGATATTACTTTTTAAATTAGGTTTTAAGTACTTTCTTTAGTTTTTCAATTCTTTCCAAGTATCCTGAAATAAATTATAAATATAGTCTGATCACAATTCACCTCAATAACTTGTGCAGTTTGGGTACTAAAAAATGGAATTAATAAACCACATTTCAAGGTTTTCCATGAAATTCTTTTTTTTTTTTTTTGAGGAAGATTAGTCCTGAGCTAACTGCTGCCAATCCTCCTCTTTTTGCTGAGGAAGACTGGCTCTGAGCTAACATGGTGCCCATCTTCCTCTACTTTATACGTGGGACACCTACCACAGCATGGCTTTGCCAAGTGGTGCCATGTCCACACCCGGGATCCGAACTGGCGAACCCTGGGTTGCTGAGAAGCGGAACATGCGCACTTAACTGCTGCGCCACTGGGCCGGCCCCAGCAAATTCATTTTTGGTGGTTTCTAATATGCTAAAGCTCTTTTAACATTCTAATGTCTTGACCTGTTCTTGATGCGCCCTTTTAAAGGTGTCAGTCACCTTTCTGACATCAGGGAGACTCAAACCTGCCTCGTTCGAGCGAAAGTTCTACTCGCCAGGTGACAAGATCAACGCAACACAGGAGGCCAGGATATCAGGTAACCTGAGCAGGTTTTACCAGGTTTTCGGAGGTGACTCCCAAACTCACCATATTCATTTAAAAATACACAATACATTGCAAATCCAAATTGAAGGTACTTTGTCTTCCATTTTCACTGTTCACAGCTATAATATACTACTGCTTTTGCATAACCCAGAACTACTGAAGGACAATGCTCATTACGTGATCACATGGTAAAAAGAAATCTCTCCGTTGTTGATGCCACCCCATCTCCATTTCTGCTCATTTTTATCCCTACTTTAAAACTGGAGCCCGGGGTCCTAGTCCTAGCCCAGCCAACTCATTTTCTTCGTGATAATGGACATGTTTACACAGCTTAAAGTATATAGAGGGAAAGCTGTGCTTTCTTTTTAGTCTGGAAAACAACTTTCAAACATTGTGACTGGTTTGATGTATCTAGTTGCTATATCGAGTGATGTGTTGCTTTGAAAAGGCAAATATCTAGCTGACAAATTTACTTGGACTATCTGGCCTTTACTGGACGTTGGCAGAGGTCCTCAGACTTCACTCTGCTCCTACACGTGACCCGTGGTGTTCCCATGTGCCACATACTCCCGTGGGCCTGCACAGGACTGTGTGTTTCCTGTACACCAGCTGCAGTCCAGAGATTTGGGCAATTCTTCAGAAACTGGGTACTACTGCTGTTTTTCTCAGAATGAAGAAGGCATATCTGTTTGTGATTAAGAAAGAAGTTATAGGAATAATCGTGAACTCCCTAATTTATTGGTGAAATAGTCACAATATCAATGCTCTACCTAGTTAAATAACCGTCTTGCAATGTACTTCACAAGTGACTGTAAACACTGTCAAGGGGAGCAAATCCACTGCCCTCCAAGCTGCCATCTTGGAGGCGTCCATGCAGGAGTTCAGTTGCTGACCAATCCCATGTGTCCTCACAGGGCAGACATGATGCTCACTAACCTGGAATGGCCCCTCTACTATCATTGTCCCTGCCCCTCCCTAGCCGCCTGGCCCATCGCAGGGACTGGTCCTTGCCTACCCAATCAAATAAGGTAATGACTGGAAGACTCTCCAAACGTTACTCCTCCTGCCTTCCCTCACACTCTCTGGTCAATTTCTTTAGTGACCACCACACACAAGTTCACCTAGGACCCCATCCCATGGACTGAAACCTTACTAAAGATGCTTGGAAAACAACATCCAAAATATAAGAGAGAAGATATCAGAAGAAGAAACTGGAGTGTTTCTGTGACTTGAGACAGAAAGGAGAGTAGAAAATATTGGCTGACACTGGCATGGGATCCATCCTTGTTTTTCGCTTTTTTAAAAAAATACTTTGGGTAATTAACACAGTTGGTTTCTGACTAGCAAAATTCTCCTATTGGTCACTTTCTTCCATGTGACTTTGTGCCCAAAATTATCCTCTTATCACCACAACCACTACCACCATCCCTGACAGAAATAGTCAAGAGAGAACTCAGTCCACATTCCTCCCTATGCAATGATCTCTGAACACTAATAAGAATCTAGAGTTGGTCCCACAGACCCTAAACAGACAGAGCCTCGTTAGTTTCCTCACATTCTTATCTTTCCATTCTTTATGTTCAGTTCTCAATTTCTCAACATTACAAATTTATTATTTAAAAGCTCAATGAAGTCCTTTGGTACAAATTATATTCCCTAGTTACTGGTGAAGGTTCAAATATCTAAATATCTTCCAGTTATAATTTATCAGTTGAACTAGGTAAAATATGAGCTATTTAAACATTGTGCCATTTACTTCACTAAAATTTCATAGATTTTTAAAATTATTTCAAATATTGCTGCCTTTGAGACTTAAAAAAACCAATCAAGTAAAATCACACAGCTTTCTAACTCAAAGATTCCTCTTTTCATTCTCCTAAAACATCAGTAAAAATGTTTGTTCAAGCCAAGTTTTAGGAGTCAAACCAGTTTAAAACCTGGCATTAGAAAATCAGATATTAGAAATTAATAATGTATCAGCAACACCGTCATTCTCCCCTACTTCCAGGATAAAAGATCCTTGCAGTGTTTAAGCAATGCCAGCCTTCAGTAATCATTTTCTCAGAGTAAATTATCAGTGAGATGAATCTTTATTAATATAAATTACTGTCAAAGGCCCTGAAATGAAGCCTCTGTTTGTAAGGTCATTATTATAATTCACAATTGAAAAATATTTAATGGTGCCATCTTGTTGCAATATTAAGGTTAATTAAAATACCATTTTCCACTAATCTGTACCTGTTAAGTCTGTTAAAATATTACTTACACAAATTCACATTTTGTTAATTTCTTACAGCTTAGGTTGTAGCTTCTGATACTGAAATTTAAATCCATCATGCTGTAAAACCAGACTCGTCTTGACAGGCACATGGGAAGAGATTTTCCACAAACTCTTTTTAGTTTAAGCCATTTGCTCCCAGTTCTGGGAGTCACCTCCACCCCCAGGCACACCTGGGGCAGAGTTTGCAGCCCCGGGAATGGCCACCATGGCAGCGGTTGGGTCACATAGCCTACAGCCTCTGGGTCTGATTTGCCACCACCCTAGTCCAGGTAAGAGAGTATGCTTAGCTCAACATCAGCCCAGGCCAAGTGGGCCAGTCAGTCAACAAGCCATCAGACCCAACAAGGTCTATCCTCCTTAAAGACAGAGAATCTTGACACCTTTTAACATGTTTTTATGAGTCAATGTCCGGAAGTGTAAGCCCTGATTTACACCTGTCCACATACTCTCTTCAAAAGATCCTCCACGGCAGAGGTCAGCAAACTATACACCATGGGCCAATTCTGGCCGCAGACTGTTTCTGGCTGGTGGACAGGCTAAGAATGGTTTGTACATTTCTAATTGTCAAAAGAAAAATACTCAAAAGGAGATTCATAATATTATATATATATATGTTCACAGTATATGAAATCCAAATTCCAGTGCCCATAAATAAAGTTTTCTTGGAAAACAGCCACACTGTTCATTTACACCTTTTTTATGGCTGCTGTCACACCACGGCAACAGAGTTGAGTAGTTGCAATACAGACCTTATGATCCATAAAGCCAACCTGTCTGGCCCTTACAGAAAGGTCTGCCTACCCCGGTCTACTGCATCATTCACAGAAAGCTCTGTATTTTCTTGTCCCTTATACAGCAGCCTCAACTCCTTCATCCACTTCTGAAACCTTTGCATTGTGCACTCTGAAAGCCTTCCCCAGTCACCAGAATTGACTAGACCCTCAAGCTCTTTTAAAGGAAACTAGACTTTCCCCTGAGCTCACTGACTTCCCCAGAGCCCTCTCAGGTGCCGGGATCTTACCTTCTCATGTCACACAGCCTCGGGTTTGGGAAGGGGTGTTACTTACAATGCCACTTCAAGATAATTTCTCCCAATCCCCTTATTAAACAAAGAAACAAACCCCACCCCCTCAGGGTCCTGACCTCCAAGTGCCAGCTTTCCTCATTCTAGCCATTCTTCCTCAATCATGGGTAACTTTTGCCACAAAGATCCTAACTCTGGGTGACCCTTACTATCCACTTTCTGTGCGCACACCAAGAAGCCTGGTGCTCTTGGAGAAAGTCACACAAATGAACACATCAGCATTACTATTATCCATAGTCACCAATCTCCATGGTCCCTCAGTATTGCCTGGTCACTTCTACTTCCTTTCTTTGGTCAAATCTCTCTTCCACTTGACACAATGAATATTTCAAACCATCTCTGCTCTGCTTGTCTCCACCCAGCCTCCTCTCCCCTACTTCCCTCTTTATTTTCGGCAGATGGCATGACTTCCTACATCAGAGAGAAAACTGAAGCCTCATCTTCCTGCTACCAAAGCCACAAGCCTCCCCACTTGTACCCCATCCTCTCCTTTACTCTCTAGTTATTACAGGAGTCCCTGCTCCTATCTCAGGCCAATACTCCCCCTATGCTTTGAACCACGTTTGCTGTCAACTTTTAAAGCAGGACACGTTATCCACTATTTCTTGTATATTCAAGTTCTCCTTCTCAACTAGATTTTTCCACTGGCAATTAAACATGATCAAGT